TTATAGTTGTTTTTGGTTCAATTTAGGTTTTAGTTAGCTGTGTTTGCTTGTTTTAGCTTTTTTTATTATTTTTGGTAATTTTAGCTTTTGGCTACATTTTTCAGCTAGCTGTAGCACTTCAGGTGCAGCTTGGGGCACTTCCTGAAGAATCTAGATTTGTTTTAAGACAATAAAGATCCAGCTCGTTACTATTATTAGAATTAAACTCCTTTTTCTCTAAACTGCGGTTGTTTAAGTTTAAAGAGTTATCCACAACAGGTAAGATACTGATTCAGAACCTTTTTCACAGAACTCACAAAATGTCTAAACTGCCGTCAAATCTTGAATGTGTTTCAGATGTATTGATGCCACTTACAAATATTCCGTGTTGAAAATCTGAAAAGAAAATCTGCTTTGTTTGTTAGTGTCTAAATAATATGAAACAATAATGATATTTATTGCGGTGATGAATGAACCCTCTTGGAGTCATTCAGTTTTAAAGAAAAGCACCTAATCACAGCTTTTGTGTTATTGTAGACCCTCTCCCCTCCTGAATCAGATTGTTTATGACAGTCTTTGTAATTTGCATATGATCAGATGGGATTTATGTGTTCAGATCAATCTGTCTGCGTTGGTTGCCATGGCAACAACGTGAGGATAGCCAAGCTGTCATGTAGCTCTCCAAGCCTGACCCCCAAAGCGCCTGTTAAGTTATTGTGGCAACTGACCGTGGACCGGCGGGCCTCCATGTTGTTGTTTTTGTTGTTGTTTTTTTTAAGTTCCCAAACCGGGAAGTTCTGATGTTTTGTCCAGAACCGGATATGTCGTTTTTCCAAATGCCGGAAAAATTCCAAAGATGCCAGCAACTCCGTTCTGCAGTAAACTCCTATTTATTTAGAATTTTCACCCCAACCCCTGGGTGCTCTCCTGACTCTATTATAGAAAATATTTACTTAATCTCAGAAGTCATTTAACTTGTACAATTTAAATTACTTTAGAAAGACCTTTTTCATTTAAAGACCTTTAGTTTGATCCAGTATTTATTTTAATTGATGAAATGTGTATTTTATAGCAATTTTTGTAAAAAGCATCCCCCCCCCCCCCAAATATTTTTTAGACAACTTTTTTTTTTTAATCCAGTCCTGAATTTGGGGAATATCGTCCAGCCCACCAGATCCTCCAGGTCCTCCAGAACCGGTAAATAAAAGTGATTCTTTGTCAAACTTAAACGAGTCAGTCGATGGTCGGGCATGGACAGTTTTTTTTATTTTTTTTTTTAAATCTTTTTATTTTTGTTTTTAAACTTTATTCATGCACAATGCCAGTGTGGGCTGATGAAGATTATCAGTCATCCAGGACACGGTAAAAAAAAAAAAATAATAATAAAAAGAAAAGTTCACAACAAAACAGTGAAAGTGAAGGAAGCCATTTTTGTAAAACGTGAGAAACCATCTTTAAACAGAGGAGGAGGTCTCAGATTTCAACTTTCAAAAACCTATCAGGAATTTCAACCATGTGACCAGAGTGGCCCACCTGTGAGTCTGACTACCAAAGACCCTAACGAACCTCTATGGTGAGGAGTGATGGGGCAATCTGCATATGTATCCAGCTTACCTCAGCTTTATAACTCGAACCCCACACTCTCTGTTCTTTGAATTGAGAAAGTTCCTCGGATAAGAAGCAAAACATCTGTTACAAAATAAAGTCCAGCTATTTTTGATTCGAACTTTTTCGAAATGCCACTGTGTGCTTAGTATTTAACTTTTACCGAACCTTTTGACTGGTCCATCTGCCTACGACGCCGTGTTTTCAGTCTTGCGAGCAGGTGGAGCTACTGATTTAAACCAAATGTATAACAGTGTTCGTCCGAGCTAAAATTAGTTTGTCGGACGAGGTGGGAGCAACTCGCGGTTGTGATGGACGCACGTCTTCCAGGTAAGTTGGCACACCTGTCAGCGATTTTTACAGCAGCTCTCAAATGTAAAAAGAAGCAGCAAGTAAGTGAGCGAACAAAATATCTAAAGTATGAAGATAGAAGTTAAATAAATAAAAGTATTACTGAAAGGAATGCATTATTTTACATGATATGAAAATGCATTTATAATGGATTTCTATGTGGTTGGTTTCCCCCTAAAAGCACTTCAGAGCAGTAAAATTACTGAGGGGTTGCACATTTTGTAGGATTTTTAGACTTTGTTGACAAGACAGAAAACAAATCAACACGAACAAAACTAAATGTGTGGCCACATAATCCGAGTGTTTATCTAAACCAAGAACTTGAAATATGAGACAAAGAATTAAAGATAAAGCAGTTGAGGCCTAGCATTCACTGAAATCACCACCACCTTTAGCACAAGTAACGTCAAGATCTCTCGCCTATCAAACGGTTTGGGCTTCAATACTCAGAGAACTGCTCAGTCTAGAAATGGCCACTTGGTCAAAGTGAGGCACCTACGAAGTCTCTGTTTACCGATAGGAAGCTGCATTTAACAATTGTGCAAAGTTTATAAACTTAACACTGATCTGCTGCAGCCATATGTTCCACAGCACTCTCTGAGGTCAGCAGATGCTTTTATTGGTTCCAGGCACTCGTTTTAAGCTCAGACGTGACAGAACCTTCTCTGTTGCAGGTCCAAAACTGTGGAATGAGTTGCCACTGCATGGCAGGCTCCTACGATTACTGTTTTTAAGTCTCGTTTATAAACTCACTTTTATTCCCTGGCTTTTGACACTGTGTGAGTTGATTTTAGCTTGTCTATATTCTATACTGTTAGTCATTTAGCTCTTATCTTTACCTCTGTGGATACACTGCCTGGCCCCCCAAAAAAGTTGCCACCTGTATTTAACTAAGAAAATGGGTATAAGCCTCCTATTGGATAATTACTGCATGGGCAATTATTCATTAATTCAACCTTTATTTAGACAGGTCAATCCCATTGAGCCTCGAGGACTCATCTACAAGAGAGACCTGATTTAACAAAGAATGATGAAAAACAATGGACAACAGCGACAACAATAAACAGTTATAAAAAGTCATACAGCCATTCAGATAAAAAAAACATCTTTATTATCTTTAATTACCTTTAAGCTGGCAACAAGCTATTTAACCCCAACTGGCGCAATGGTGCTTCTCATTTCTTAAACAACCGTGTTGAAAGACACATGGCGTGGTCGTGGAAAAGATGTCAGTCTGTTTGAGAAGGGTCAAATCATTGGCATCAAACAGAGAAAACATCTAAAGGAGATTGAAGAAACTACTAAAATTGGGTTAAGAACTGTCCAACGCATTATTAAAAACTGGAAAGATAGTGGAGACCTATTGTGCTCGAGGAAGAAATGTGTCTGGAAAAAAATCCAGGATGATCGTGATCGGCGATCACTTAAACGTTTGGTGAAATCAAATCGAAGAAAAACAGAGCTATGTTTAATAGTGAAAGTAAAAGCATTTCCACACGCACAGTGTGAAGGGAACTCAAGGGATTGGGACTGAATAACTGTGTAGCCTTAAGAAAACCACTAATCAGTGAGGCTAACTGGGGAAAAAAAAGGCTTCGGTTTGCTAGGGAGCATAAAGATTGGACTCTGGAGTAATGGAAGAAGGTCATGTGGTCTGATGAGTCCAGATTTACCCTGTTCCAGAGTGATGGGCGCTTCAGGGTAAGAAGAGAGGCAGGTGAAGTGATGCACCCATCGTGCCTAGTGCCTACTGTACACGCCTGTGGGGGCAGTCTATGATATGGGGTTGCTGTAGTTGGTCTGGTCAAGATTCAGCAACAGTATGTGCTCAATTAATGAGGTCAGCTGACTACCTGAATATACTGAATGACCAGGTTATTCCATCAATGGTTTTTTTCTTCCCTGATTGCACGGGCATATTCCAAGATGACAATGCCAGGTTTCATCGGACTCGAGTTGTGAAAGGGTGGTTCTGGGAGCAGGAGACATAATTTTCACTCATGGCTTGGCCACCACAGAGTCCAGACCTTAACCCCATTGAGAATCTTTGGGATGTGTTGGCGAAGGCTTTGTGCAGTGGTCAGAATCTGCCATCAGTGCAAGATCTTGGTGAAAAATGAATGCAACACTGGAAATAGATCTCGTGACATTGCAGAAGTTTATCGAAACAATGCCACAGTGAATGCGTGACGTAATCAAAGCTAAAGGTGGTCCAACAAAATATTAGTGACCTTTTATTTTTTTTTGGGGGGGGGGGGGCGACTTTTTTTTTTTTGGCCATTCAGTGTATTTTATCCGGTGTCCTATGCTTGTTTTATTTTTATTTATTTATGTATTTATGTTGCTTTTGCTTGCCTTGTTGCTGTTTTTAAGTGCTTTATAAAAAAAGTGGTGTGGAATAAATAATGCCGCTTTCTTCTTCCTTATTAGATTACAACTAAAAGTTGAAGTGTTTGCTCATATCTGTGTGTTCATTTTTGTCCCATCAGCTAAACGTACCACTGAACAGATATTAATTAAACTTTCAGGAAGTAATTATTCCATGTACTTCTACAACAGGTTAACTTTTCGAGTCGACCCAGTTCAGCTAATCAACCTTACACGACACAAAATAACTATAACTCGGCCAATTTCAT